GAAAGAGGTACTTTTCTCCCTTTCTCACAATACAAGAACTCGTGGGCACTCAATTAAATTGCTGAGCGGTCAGGTTAGAACAGATAAAAGGAAGTACTTCTTCACCCAAAGAGTGATTAACACATGGAATTTACTGCCACGAGAGGTGGTGGTGGCTACAAGCATGGATGGCTTCAAGAGGGAATTAGATAAGCATATGGAGCAGAGTTCCATCGGTGTCTGTTAGTCATAAGGTATAGATAGGGATTCTTGGGCAAGTGATGCTCTGTATTATTGGTGCTTGGGGGGGGCAACAGTGGGAGGGCTCTTAGTGTCCTGGCCCCACTGGTGGACCTCCTGATGGCACCTGGTATTTTTGGCCACTGTGTGACACAGAGTGTTGGACTGGATGGGCCATAGGCTTGATCCAACATTGGCTTCTCTTATGTTCTTATGTCTGGGGCAGTGATGCTCTGTGTTCTTGATGCTTGGGGGGGGGGACAGTGGAAGGGCTTTTAGTGTCCCGGCCCCACTGGTGGACCTCCTGATGGCACCTGGTATTTTTGGCCACTGTGTAACAGAGTGTTGGACTGGATGGGCCATTGGCCTGATCCCACATTGGCTTCTCTTATGTTCTTAGGTGGTCCTTCAAGGCAAACCATAGCTTGGATTTAATTGCATAAATAAAATGATGTTGGCTTCTAACTGTAGAAGTAGAAATTACTTTTAAAAACACAGAAAGCTGATATTCTGATGATTCTTCCCATATTGTTGTTGCTCGTCTGATCTCAGCCTTGAGTATTTTTTTGTCTCTTACTGTAAAATCTGCTGTCTTGACAAAAGAACCGATGCTGTCTAATTTTTTCCTTTTTGTATTTAGAGACAGGGAAGACCTTTACCTGGGGCAGAGGGGACTATGGTCAACTTGGAAGGAACGGGATGCTGTCTGAGGGACAAAGCCGGGATGAGAAGAGATCCACTGAATTCCTTTTCAAAGAGCCGCTCGCTGTTCCAGTGACAGTGCCCAGTCTGACTGGAGCATCTGAGGTAAGAAGCAACTGCAAGAACTTGGTGTTTTGTTACCTCCAGACTTCTAAATGTTTTGTATCGTGCTATAGATTTATGCAGGCAGGGCTCTTTTTGTAGAAAAAGCCCAGCAGGAACTCATTAGCATAATAGGCCACACCCAACCACAGAAACTCATTAGCATATTAGGCCACACCATGACAGCCCAACTCATTCGCATATTAGGCCACACCCCCATGTTACCAGAAGTGTGGTTATCCAGCCATACCCACCTTTTGCGTGTTATTCTCCTTACCTTGTTTGTTGTCCAAACCCAGGGCTTTTTTTGTAGCAGGAACTCCTTTGCATGTTAGGCCACACAACCCTAATGTAGCCAATCCTAATGAGTTCCTGCTGTTGGGTGTGGCCTATTATGCTAATGTGTTCCTGCTGGGTGTGGCCAACTTGGGAGCCAGACGGAACTCCGTTCCTGTGCGTTCCTGCCCAAAAATAGCCCTGGATTTATGAACAAAACCACAGGTCAGATGCTAGATTTTTAGAGCCAGAGACACTTGAGGCACTTGGGTTTTTTTATGTATTTGAAGGGAGAGCCACAGTGTTAATAGTAACAGTGGTAGGTAATCTTACCATCACAGTAGAGAAAAGGGAAGTATCTGTAGAAACAGTATATGAGGAATTGGGATTATATTTCTGGACAATAATAAATCCATTTTCCCAGTGATGGCACTGCAAAAACAGAATCGTTTTCTCCATGGGATATGTTAAATAGAAGAGTTCAGGTGTTTCTGATGTCGATGGTGTTGAAGTAATCTGAGTATGTCACGTTCATTCTGGTTAGGAGCAGTGTCATCAGTTTGAGATTACACCAAACTTGACTAGTACACACCCAGAGGTGTACATGTTTTAAAGTTATCTATGCAATAATGTCAAGTGGGGCTGTAATTTTAATGATTGCAGAGGAGTAGCCATGTTAGTCTGTCATAGCAAAAGAAAACAAAAGTCCCGGTGGCACTTTAAAAGACTGACAAAATTTATTTCAGTATGAGTTTTTAAAAATCACATCCCACTTCTACAAGTAGGTATGTGAAGGGGAAGAACTTGATGAGCAAATACTTAAAGCTGTTTGCTCTTCTGTTTAGGCCTTAGTACTCCCTCACCATCCAGTATATATAACTGCTAATTCTGTTGATTTATGATGGGACTCACACCTCACCTTTCTATAGCAACTCTTTCCTTTTTCTTTTGCACTGAGATTTACACTTGAAAGACTCATGGGCTGATCTATCGACTGAAGCTACAGATGAATTGTGTCTGGCCAGCCCGGGCAAGTCCGGGCATGTCAGGCTGATGCCTTACACGTGGAAAGGCGGCAGTACATTACACCCCTCCCCCCATAGTCCAAACTACCCACATACAAAGTCCTGGAGGTATGCGGGAGACTTCCTGGGCCTTGTGGAACGGCGGAGTTCCGGGGTGCTGCTTGGGGCTGCTCCTTGTGGCCGTGGCGGGGCGGTTGGCTGCGGCGTTTCCGGCGGCGGCAATGCCGGAGGTTCCGGAGGTTCCGGAGTGACCGGGGCTGGGGCCGAGGCCGGGTTCTGCGGTTCTGGTGCGTGGACCGATGCTTCGCCATGCTCCTGGGGCTCCAGGTCCTCGGGGTCATTCTGGAGGACCCGGCGCCGCAGTTGGTCGATGTGGCGGTGGAGCAGTTGGCCGTCCTCGCAGGAGACCTCGTAGGAGCGAGGCCCTCGCACCCGGACCACTCTCGCGGGGATCCAGGGTGGCCCCTGTGCGTAGTTCTTAGCGTAGACTGGGTCTTCCGGGAAGAACCCTCTGGCGGCTGCGTACGATTCCGATGTCGGTTCCATCTCGGGGGCCCTGTCTGGGTGTAGACGGTCCAGCCGGGAGGTTAGGCGACGACCCATCAGGAGCTCCGCCGGGCTGCAGCCGGTCTCGGTGTGCGGGGTCGTGCGTTGGCCGAACAGGAACACCGCCAGCTTGTAGTCCCAGTCCTTACTGTCGAACTTGCGCAGTGTTTCCTTGGTGGTGCGCACCATGCGCTCCGCCTGGCCGTTGGTTGCCGGGTGGAAGGGCGCTGACCGGACGTGTCGGATTCCACAGTACCTCGTGAAGTCCTGGAACTCGCTGGAGGTAAATGCTGTGCCGTTGTCGGTCACCAGGGTGTCTGGAAGGCCGTGGGAGCTAAAAATGTGGCGCATGGCTCTGATGGCGGCCTTCGAGGAGGTAGACGGTACAGGCACCACCTCCAGCCACTTACTGTAAGCGTCCACTAGAATGAAAAAGATTTGTCCCTGAAACGGCCCCGCGAAGTCCAAGTGTAGCCGGGACCAAGGTTTGTGGGAAGACTCCCAAGCTCGATCGGGCGCTCGGGGCGGTGCGGGCCGGAACGCCTGGCAGGGTTGGCACAGTTTCACCAGTCTCTCAATGTCCTGATCGAGGCCGGGCCACCACACATAACTCCGAGCCAGCGCTTTCATCCGCACCACTCCTGGGTGAGCCTCGTGCAATGCTGCAAGTACTCGGTCTCGGAGTGGGGAAGGGATTACCACCCGACCTCCCCACAGCACACAACCCTTGTGAGCAGACAGTTCGTCTTTGCGCGAGGCATAGGCCGCAAAGTCGGGTCCCGCCGAGGCCAACGGCCACCCCCTTCTCACCCAGTCCAGGACGCGGCAGAGGATAGGGTCCTTTTCGGTGCGCCGGGCCACCTCTTTCACGTGAACCGGCTGGTCGGGCAGCGTTTCCAGCAGCGCGATGTGATGGGCTGGGGCCGGGTCAGGCTCCGTTTCCGGCAGAGGCAGGCGGCTCAAGGCGTCCGCATGGCCCATCGCCTTCCCGGGCCGGTGCAGGAGCATGTAGTTGTAGCCCGCCAGGAAGACGGACCACCGGATCACTCGGGGCGAAGTCATCTGGGGGGTCTGGCGGTCCGGGGCGAGCAGACCCAGGAGAGGCTTATGGTCCGTGAGGACCGTGAAGGGCCGGCCGTAGAGGTAGTGGTGAAATTTTTTCACCCCGGCCACTATAGCAAGAGCCTCCTTGTCAATCTGCGCGTAGTTGCGCTCCGCCGCAGACAAGGTACGGGAGTAATAGGCCACAGGTACCTCCCGACCGTCAGGCAGTTTGTGCCCCAGGACCGCCCCGACCCCATATGGAGAGGCGTCGCAAGCCAGCACCACCGGCAAGTCCTCATTGAAGTGTGCGAGTACCGAATTTGAGACGAGGAGGTCTTTGACCGCCCGGAAAGCCGCCTGCTGAGCCGCCCCCCAGACCCACGGCGCGCCCTTGTCGAGGAGCCGATGGAGGGGTTCGGCTACTGCAGCTTTGAGGGGAAGAAAAGAGTGGTAAAAGTTCAGGAGGCCTAAGAAGGCCTGTAGCTCGGTCTTTGATGTGGGGGCTGGGGCGTTCGAGATCGCCCTGGTCTTCTCCGCCGTGGGGTGAATGCCCTGTGCGTCGACCGCGAACCCTAGAAACTCCACTTTGGGCACGCCGAGCAAGCATTTTTCGCGCTTCACCTTCAGCCCCGCCTGGTCGAAGCGTTGAAGAACGGTACGGAGTCGGGTGGCAAACGACGCGGCGTCGGGGGCGGCGATCAAGACGTCATCTAGAAAGGGCTGTACCCCGGGGATACCTTTGAGGAGAGAGTCCATGAAAGATTGAAAAATCCCCGGAGCCACCGAGACGCCGAACTGGAGCCGGTGGACCTTGAAAGCCCCTCTGTGCGTGGCGATCGTCTGGGCTTCCGCCGTGGCGGCGTCCACCGGCAGCTGCTGATAGGCCTGCGCCAAGTCCAGCTTTCCAAATATGCGAGCCCCCGCGAGCGCCGCCAGCACGTGGCTGACCACCGGAACGGGGTACGCGTGGTCCTGCAGCGCTTTGTTAATTGTGCACTTATAGTCCGCACAGATCCGGACGTCCCCGTTTGGTTTGATCGGTGTGACAATGGGGGTTTCCCAGCGTGCCGATGCCACCGACTCCAACACCCCTTGCGCCACCAGCTTGTCGAGTTCCGCCTCGATTTTCGGCCTTACCGTTAAGGGCGGAAACCTGGCCTTGATCCGTATGGGCCGGACCGCCGGGTCCAGGTCCAGGGAGATGGGGGCCCCCGTGAACTTGCCTAAGGACCCATCGAAAACCCGGGGGAATTCGTTGCAAACGTCCGCGAAATCGGCTTGCTGCAGCTGGTGGATGCCCCCGATGGTCAAGCCCAGCGGCTTAAACCACGACATCCCCAGGAGACTGGAAAGCCGGCCCCCCACCACCAGAATGTCCAAACAACCCTTGAAGTCCTGGAACTCCACCAGGAACGTGCCCCAGCCCCGCACCACCACAGGATTCTTATTGAAATCCTGAAGCCTGATGTGTGGTTTGCGCAGAGGGGGTCCCCCGTTGGGACACACTGTCCGCAACGTCTCCTCCGAGATAATGGTAAACTCGGAGCCCGTGTCAAGTTCCATGCTACAGGGGGACCCCTCTATCCGGACCGTAACATGGACTTTGTTTCGGCTCTGACGGGGCAAGTCACCTACCTGGGGCTGGGGCTGGTGGCCGACGGCATTTGTGTCGATCGAATGGAGGTCCACAGTGTGGATGGGTTCCCACTGGTGGCTGGGTTTCCTGGATGGCTGGCGGCGGCTGCGGCAGACCTTGGCGATGTGGCCCTGCTTGTTGCAGGACCTGCAGACCGCCTCGCGGAAACGGCAGCTCCGACGTTCATGCGCGTCCCCGCAGCTGGCACAGGAGGAAGCTGGCTCCGACGGCCTCGCTGGCGGTGCGCCCTTCGAACGGTGAGGTTGTGACGGCTTGCGGTGGAGTTGCGCCACTGCCTCCTCTTCGGAGTCTGCCGAATCCCCTCCGGCTTGGATGCGGTGTACCCGATGGCCGCTGTGGCCCGGACGCTCATTCTCGAAAGCAGCCGCATCCTTTAAAGCCGTGGCTAGCGTGAGGTCATCATCACGAATGAGGCG